TATTCACTTGAAAGGCCGCATTCAGAGGGCAAAGCTCAAAAAAACAAGAAAACCTACCTTGTGCTCAAGTATCTGAAGCCTTTCACAGGCAGCAATAAGAGCTGCAACAACTCCAGACCTTCCCAGTTCAAGAAGATTCCGAAATTTAGAACCCATTTCCTCAAAAATCGACTTTATCTGGATTCAGAAACAAGGAAACAGATAATACAATTAGAAACATCAAAGTTTCATGCATTACAGTCAGCGCATGATATGTAAACCAAGTAATAACATGGTTCTTATGGCGTCGCCTAGGCGTCGCCTAGTCGTCGCCTTGGCGTCTGGGCGTTTTTTAAATCAAGGCGCCTAGGTCGCCTAGGCGTCGCCTAGGGTCGCCTAGTCGTACGCCTAGGGCGCCTAGGCGTCTGGAAGGGGGCGGCTCGCCTCGCTTCGCCTTACCGCCGTAAGAACCATGAGTAATAAATCGGGTGACGTAACAATTAAGGTGAACATCTGGTACAAATGACAAGACTAACCAATATATAAATTTTTATATGAGAATTTGCAAAAACATATGATCTGGTCAGATTTCGATAATAGAATGTCAACCCAAGTACCCAACAGGGACAGAGAGAGAACCAATTCTCAGAATAATCTGATCAGAGTTCGTAAATGTTGATCAATAACCCAATTTTGGTGAGTACAAGTTCAGAAGAGCCAATTTCGACCCATTTGGGGAGGCAACAAATCTGTGCACATATGATCATTGGATCAATAAAATCTTTATGAACTCACCGCTTTTTTTCATGGGATATTAAAGCTGAACTGAACATTGCAAACCATTAAAAAAAACATTAACAGATTACCAAAATAGATCAAAATATACTAATTAACCGTCTTGATCCAATGGGTCTCACCGTTCAATCATCATATCATTATTTCCTAATCATCATCCACCATGTTGCCAATAGTCACGCAACACTACTTAAAACATTTAGCCAATTGATATGCAAGGAAATAATAAAATATAATAGACTGCCTCGACCAAATCACTCTTGGAATGCACAAAAATTTTAGTAAAGGAAGAATGGATCGCTGGACATACATGCTCTTGATTTCTTGCATGAGATATCAATGCTTGGACAACAAAGTTCGCAGAGGAATGTGATGACAGCCTAAACAAAGATCCCTTGCAAATTTTGGTGAATATTTCATTATACATGGTATCTGGAGCCACTGCCAGGATGACCTGCACAGAGAGAAATGAAGATGAAGCACGGGGTTATTAATATAGAACAGAGAAAAGTGCCCACGGATAAATGATATACTGTGTGAATGAGAAATGAAATGATGAAACATGTAAACGAAGCTCAGTTTTGCTTTGAATTCTATAATGATCAGTAAAACTACAATCAGTAAAGAAACATGCCCTGAATGCTTCTATAATAAAAGTTCAGGTCAACAATGACACATTTATATAATTATACTGAAGGGTAGAAAGTCATAATTTAATAACTCTTCGAAAAAAAAAGAAAGTCATAATTTAATAAACTCTCACCTCCATTAGATGACTGTATGCATTATCTTCCACTAAGCGAAGAACTTTTTTCACTGGTACGGCCTCCATAAAATTCCCATGTGGGACATTGTCTTTATGGCAGCCAAGCAGAACAGGAATTATACGGGACAATTCATCCTCTTCTCCAGCTAATAATTTCAGAGCAGTCTGCAATCGAAAAATATAACTCAGTGCATGTAAGACAAGTAGTATTGAGTTAATTTCTGTACGTCAGTAAATCCTACCAGGCTTCCAGCCAAATAATTATGTTCACTGATGTATAAATAGATATCTGCTGATTAATTTGCCAGAAACGTACCACATATAAAAAGAAAATAACAACTATTACATGGCTTTACTCACTAAAAATAACTTTTACAAAAATTAGTAGAAGTGTGCCTTAAAGTCTCACCCTTTTTTGGGTGGATTTGAAAAAAAAAAAAAAAAAAAAAAAAAAAAAAAAAAAAAAAAAAAAAAAAACTCAGTCCTGAATTCAAAGAAATAAAGCAAGAAAACCAGTAAGAGTAGAGGAGTGACCAATGTAGTTAAAAACAACTATTTTGCGGTACAAGGGATTAAGAAGACACTAAAACATACCTGCAAAACCAAACTACTGTACTGGTTCTTTTGTAAGACTGCTATGTCTATCTTTGACGGGTTCGACAATTCTGATATGAGAAGCTTTAGTTGATCTGGGAATGATTGATTCTGCTGCTCTTCATGACTATCAAAACGAGACAATTTCAAATTCAGCCGTTCAGCCAGCACCACTGATGACTTTGTGCTATGAAACTCCAATGAGTCCACAGGAACACCTTTACAGAGGCAAAGAAGCCGGCGTAGGACGTGAGAACCATGACAGTTGCACATTATTATGTCAACGGGATTGGCCACAATTGCCTGGCAGAAATAAAAATAGGAGACAAACAATTAATTAAGCATAAATGTTAAATACTAACCACATGCTTTATCATTGGTCATACAAAATATTTTTTTTCTTGTTCGTGATGGCTAATTATCATTATTGCATGGTAACCCAGATTTGTATGAGAAAAAAAAAATGAGCTAAGAGAATTTTGAAACGACAAAAATGACTAATGAGGTTCAATTCCATCTTACATGCACGATCAACTGTTTAAAATTGTACCACTCAAATTTAAAATATATCACTAACAGACCCAAACATTTTTCTAAATTATTTGCAATATTGGGAAATGTCCAGATATGTAACTGTAAAATGAGAGACTTATTTGTTTCCATCAACTTAGCTAATAGCAAGTTCAACATACAACATGGGCATAACCTCAAGTAGTTTCTGTAATTGTCCCATAGTGTAATCAGGGAGCATTCCAAAATGCAAGTAAAAGAACAAAAAACATAGGAAATGCAAAGACCCAGCCAACTAGGCTTTTTGAGTAACAGTTGTTGCTATTGCTTATAAAAGACATGTCAATTACGTCACAATGTCAGGATTGTCTACCTGGCACAACGCCCATAGTGTTTCCTCAATAAGAGAGTGATTCTCATGATCATCAAGGTTCCTGGCCAAGGACTTCAAAGCCGTTTCAGCTACATGTGAACCGGACCTATCCATAGAAATTTGTGAGAAATCCTCAGCACAACTTTGCAGAAATCCACATAGATGATCCACCGAGCAGCCTTCGAGTAGAGTTTGCATGGTGTGGCTCATGATATAATCAGTCGCGAGATCAAATTCTTTCCCTTTGGCTTCTTCCAATGCATTGCCGCACACCAAGGCCCGCTCGTCCATTTCCATCTCATTTCCTTCCAACACGTTTGCAATATCCGAGAAGTATTTCACGGTCTCAGCATCTACCGGTTTCCTACAGACAAAGAAAGGTTTCCAAAGAATATATTCATGTGGGGTCCACGCACAGTATCGAGAAAATACACAACTAAAAGTCCATAGACTGATATATGGATATATCAAAACACAAGTGAATATCTTGACAAAAATCCTTTGTTTTGCACTCCTCCCCCGCACCATTTAGATAGCAACAAATTATGCACACTACATAGACAATATATACATTTATACAAAAATTAAATAACATGACTAACTCTACAAATTCAATAAACTTCTTCCTTATATCCTCCCTCAAATGCCCGTCCATTGCTTTCTTTTGTTTTCTCGTTTATCTTAGCTCATTCTTTTGCTTCATACCTCAACTTGAATAAATTAACTAATTAATTGGCAAAAAAAAAAAAAAAAAACACCTGATGAACGATGCCTGAGGTACTGGAGCCGTCTTTTCCTTGTTACGTTTTTTATTTTCAGTAGAAACATCCACGTGGGACCCTGCGTGTTTCTTGCCTCCCTTCCTAGCCATTTTCCTCCTTTCGCCTACCCTGTCTTCGGAAGATTCACCTTTGTCAGCTGTAACACAGTCCTGAGAGAAACTACTATGGGGTTTATGTTTTCTCAATGGAAATGCTCTCAAACCTATAGCAACCATACCAAAATATCCTCTGGGCAGTGTCCTGCGTAATTTGTAAAACTGTTACAAACTAAAATTGCAATATTTTTCTCCTTCACTCACATTCAGCACTCTTTACTCAAGTCATTAAGGAATTAATCCCCGAATTACACCATATCATACCTAGCAACATTTTTACACAGATAAACACAAACACACCGAGAACAAATGAAACGATTAGAAGCCCTAAAATTTAATCAAGCAAAAAACTAACAAATTCAAAACCTATGAACTCAATACAGCTAATTTAGCTCAAATAAAATATCAGAAGCCCCAAAATTGAATCAAACAGAAGCTAACAAATTCAAACCCTGAACTCAATACACCAATTTAGCTCAAAAAAACATCCAAACATCACAGTAAGCGCACAGCTCAGAAAGGTAACAAAGTAAAGCCAAAATACAAAAAATCGTCCAAAACAAAGTATGATTCATAGCCATCGTTATAATGAAGCACGCACCTTGAAAAGCTGCAACTGAAAATTTGCTGAGCACAGAGAGTTTTTTGTGTTGTGGGAGCTGAAGAGAGAGCGGCTATAGTTTTAGCGGTTGCTCGAATGGACCCGACCTATCAATGGAAGCCCAATTATCTTACATATTGGGCTTAATGAAACAACCTGCTGTAGTAAATGGACCTTCAGCTGAACTTTAGTGAAATTTAAATTTTTTTATTACAAATATATTATTAATTGACATTGTTTCTGAATGGTTAATTTATGAATATCTTTTGTTATTAAAATATATATTTTTTTTATGATTCATTTGTAAATAAATTTTTTATAATTTTATTTGACAAAATTCATATAATTACAAAAGTTTTAAGAAGGTGTAGGCCCAAGTTGCATGTGTGTATCAGTAGTAGTGCAGTTAAATTAAACGAGCATGGGTCGGCTCGATTGAGCTCGGCTCGTTAAGGCTCGAGTTTGGCTTGAGCCTCGTGCTTTTAACAAGACGAGCTCGGGTTTATTAAATTCTCGCTTGGTTAAGCTCGACTCGATAAGGCTCGTTAAGGATCGAAAAGATAATTTTTGTATAATTTTCTATAATTTACTTCGTTAAAGCTCAAGATCGGCTCATTAATGGTGATAAGCGAGTCGAGCACGAACTTGATTTCTGACTCGTTTATTTAAGGAGTCGAACTCAGCATGACTTGTAAAAGGCTCGAGCACCTTAAGTTCGAGCTCGACGTTTACATGGCTAATAAGTGGTGTAGAGCTTGCTTCGTGCCATAACTCATTACCGTTATTCAATTCGCATGCACATTCTGGGTCAAAGTTGGTTTTATGTACACAATTATTGTATTTTGAATTTTGACAATGTCAGTAATTAGTGAGCTTGTGTTGGTTCTACAACTTGAATTGAATGTATAAAGTATTTCAAAATTTGACCATGGTTGTTGCAATTGGTTAAAATTCGTGTTGTCATCTTACTCGAACACATCGAATTTGAGCATTTCAAGCTTGTATTCGAACATTATTCGTGCCCATTTGTTTATTATACAAATAAAAGTTCATCTTCAAACTCGTTTATTTAATTGTTCGTAAAAGTTCGTGATCGAATAATTTAGTAAACAACCTTTCTAAAAATGTTTGATCAACTCGTATATGTCGTTCAAAGTCAGTACGAGCTCGAGACTTAAAACTAAAATAAAAAATAAATTTTGATACTTTAGATTTAATTGTTAAAAATATAATACACATCAATATAAAAAAAAAAATAAAATTATATTAAATTAATGTTCGTGAAGATAGTCGTATGTTCGCGAACGAGCTTGTATTCATTTGAGTATATTAAATTAGCCTAATTTTCTTTTCTATCTTGTTCGATTAACAAACAAACAATCTCTTGTCGAATACAAATGACACCTAGAACGAGCTTCTATACGTGAAAGTGAAAGTTCGATTTGTTATCAATCCTTAACTGAAATACAACAGCTTTAGTACTTAACTGGAGTCAGATTCTCAAATTAAACTACTTAGGTGTTATAAATAGGTTTACTCATCTAATAGTTATTGTTTAGGCTTCGACCTGATTTGCCATTTGTAACTTTCGACTTTGAAATAATACACATACATTAAATCAAAACTTCCATTCACATTCCATAGTCAATATACATCTCTCGTTTGTTATATATATATTTTCGTAACATTAAGTGCTTATTACAATTACATTAATCAAAACTTTCATTCACATTCCACAGTCAATGAACATATTTAAAGTTATATCATGTCAGATCGTATCGCGTTTATTGCAATTTTTATTTTACAGCATTAACTTCGTCATATTTTAGGTTCTTTTTGTATCATCAAACACGTTATGGTGTTCATTGTTTTATCGTCATGTTTCCTCTTATGTATATAATGTAAATGCAGAGTTTCTCGAATTCATGTGTTAATTTTCATTGATTCGCAATCCTATATGTGTCTGTTTATGATTCTTCACAATCATGTATGTCATATAATGATGCTTATGAGTAATCCATGTAGTTTTGGATGGTTATACATGTCAAGTATGACTTTTAAAATTGCAAAATATTTTATCAACTTAAATTAGAAATATATTTTAATTTGGCAATTTTTCTTTTTAATATCTTATCAAACTTTGATTTATGATATAAAACAAAATAATCATACGACAGATTTACAAATTCTTATATATATTTATTTATAAAATAAATATCAAATTATCAAATTATAAAATATATTCAAAGTATAAAGTAATAGAAATATTGATTATTATTATTATTTTTTTTTCTATCAAGCTTTTTATATGAATTAAGCTAAGCTAAAAAAAAGTTAAGTGTAAAATATGATGAGGAAATTTCAGATAAGGATTGTCATTCAAAAAAAAAAAAAAAAAAAAAATTATTCAAAAAATTATTTTGTTTTTAATTATTATTGGTCGTGATTAGTGTTGTTAAATTAAACGAGATGGAGTCAGCTCGGTTCGAGTTCGACTTGGCTAGTTTGATAAACTAGTCGAAGTCGAGCTTATTTAAAATTTTTTTGGTTAACGAGTCGAGTTCTGCTCAGCTCGAAAAGAAAATTTGTATATAATTTTATAGTTTCACTCGTTAAAGTTCGATATACACTCGTTTAGGCTCGAACTTGGATCATTATTAATAATAAGGAGCTGAGCTTGAGCTCGAGCTCGATTTCAGACACGTTCGTTTAACGAGCTAAGCTCGATTCCGCTCGTTTGAGCTTGAACACTCGAAGCTCGAGCTCAGCTCGTTTAAAAGACTAGATCCCATAATACCAGATAGCGATGTTATATAAAAAAAAAAATCCATTTACTAGAATTAGTAGTAAGAAAAGTCATAATTAATGCATTCTATTTCCATCAAGTATTTTATTTAATTATTTTAGTTAATTGTTTTATCTCATAACACCTTTTCAATACAACTTACCATGATTTTTCTATTGTGATTAAATACCAAATTTTACGTATAAAATCTTGTGAAATTATTATTATTATTATTTTTATAAAGCACATATTATTTGTTAAATAATTGTATATATATAATACACATTACAGTACCATTAAATTTCAACCGATCAAAATGCCAATGATTTAAATTGGAACACACCTATGCGTTTGACCAAATGTCTGGAGGATTTAAAATTGAGCCCATAAAAAAAATATATAAATTTGAACACACTAGAAATTTTATGTACTTTTTATTTATAAATATACTGAAAGTGGTATTTAAATGGCTGTTATATAAACTATTTTAATATATTTGCAATGAATAAAAGTTTGAATGAATAATTTGTAATGTTATTCATAATGTTTGTGACTTATGAAACACGAACACATGACTCCATACATATTTGCCAGATGGCGGCTTAATAATTTTTTAGACGTAACGTTGATTAAAAGATGTAGAAAATAGATAATAACACTATTACTTTTTCGACTGAAACGGATAAGACTGTGAAAATAACTCATTTAATATTTTTGTCAACTGTAAAAATAACTTATTTAATATTTTTGTCAAGGTTGTCGTCCCGTGCATCACACGGATACATACTAGTGTAAAGTACAATTCAAACATAACAAAGTGGGGGACCGCCACGTGGCCACCCGTACAAGTCAAAATCACACTTCCGATTTTGTCAAACATCGCCGGCTGGCTGGCTGCTTGTGCCACAAACAATTCTCCAATTCCTTAGCTCACAAATCCCTCTCTATAAAAATCAATCGAAAATGCGGAAATTCGCAGCTGAAAAAACCAGACATCTCTTAGCCCACCGGAAAATTTTCGCCGCCGTGTCGCAGCATCCCGCCGCCCCGCTTTACTCGTCGTCCTCTTTGCAAAAATTGGAGCCCCTTTTTTCAACCGCCGTTCTTCTGCGCCGTTTGAGCACCGTAGCTGATAAACCCAATCCATCTTCCGAGTCGTCTTCTGGTTCGATGGCTTCTGATTATTCGTGTACACCGGTTAAGATTGATTCGATCAATCCCAAGGTGAGGCTGCGCGCGGGCCTTTGTTTTAACCCGATTGGGTTGTGTTATGATTAATTGTTATTCGAATTTTAAATGTTGTGTTGCGATTGAATTAGTGGGTTGTGGCGATTGATTTGGCTATGTTGATTAGTGGATATGGATTTTTATTATTTATTTTTTTTTTCTAATTGATTGCGAGGGCTGCTACTGTGTTTGGGTAGCTTTTCGAGCTAAGATGGTGAACGGCGGTAATTAACTATTTATAATACTAAAACCTTAATAATCAAACTGTTGTACCAGGTTTTGGAGTGTGAATATGCTGTTCGAGGTGAAATTGTGATCCTTGCTCAGGTAATTGATTGTTTGCCTTTTTTTTGTTTTGTTTTGTTGATATGTATAGCATTTATTTCTGGTGTCGTGGTGTGATTAACGTGGTTTTTCTTATCAGAAATTACAAGAGGAATTGAAGGTCAATCCAGATGCTCATCCATTTGATGAGGTACATATTCCTTTATTAGCTTGCAAATGGAAGATCACTGGATATTTCCGATTCATAATATATGTGAAGAGTTTGTCTGAAATGTGGATTTGTATTAATTTAGAGAGACTGTAAGCACAAAATGGAAGTTGGTGCTTGTAATACTTGAAGATTAGTATACACATACTGATCTGTTTCTTTTATTCTATTCTCTCGAATTTGAAATTATCTAAAGGGAATTTAGCGTTGTTTCTCTTCATCTGCAGATACTATACTGCAATATTGGAAATCCTCAATCACTGGGTCAGCAGCCAATCACGTTCTTCAGGGAGGCATGTAAATTTCACACAGTATACTTGAGAAAATGTTTCACAAATTGTGTTTCCAACTCATTTGGTTCTTATTCCAGGTCCTTGCTTTATGCGATCATCCTGCTATTTTGGATAAATCAGAAACACAGGGTTTATTTAGGTATTGTCACTCGGATATTGATACATTTATCTATATAATAAGGGGCTAAATTGCAACGACATAGCAATGGAAATCTCACAATGATACTCTCCTTGGTAATTCATTTGGGTTCACTGTTTCAAGTCTTTTTTTGCATTGCTGAAGCAAAAAATGTGTATCACTGTAACCAACATCATTTTATTTGTTCTTTTGCTTTATGTGTTAAATTTATATTTCAATAATTGAATCAAATCATCTTTCCACATATGCATCCAATTGGTAGGATAATGAATGTCTACTTTTTTTGATCTTTTACTCTGTTATGACCAGTAATATTATTCAGAGTTTCTTGTTTTCTTGAATAGATATGTGCATTGATCCAATATTTGTTATTAATGATTGACATGGTGGATTTTTAGTGCTGACTCCATTGAACGAGCATTTGAAATCCTGGACCAAATTCCTGGAAGAGCCACCGGTGCTTATAGTCACAGCCAGGTCAGATAACCTCTATTGGAAACCTTACATGTATTAAAGCTGGTCTGCTGATATACTAAATAGTTCTCCTTTTATTAAATGAAATCAGGGTATCAAAGGACTGCGTGATACAATTTGCAAAGGCATTGAAGCCCGTGATGGATTCCCAGCTGATCCAAATGATATTTTCTTGACAGATGGCGCAAGCCCCGCGGTATCAATAAGATACTTTATTATATACAGATAACTTTTGCAATTACTATTTCCAATTCCTGGATAAGACTCTTTATAATATTGTCTTTTTTTTTTCAGGTTCATATGATGATGCAGCTACTAATACGATCAAAGGATGATGGCATTCTGTGCCCTATTCCACAATATCCACTTTATTCTGCTTCAATTGCGCTACATGGTGGAACTCTTGTAAGTATTACATGGCCAAGTTTATAAGGTGTCCAAATAAGTGTTGGAAAAATGCTATTTCAAGTAAAAATTCTATCAAGTTGAAGATCCCTTAAAATTGTTAGAATTTTTCTATTTCTTTTCTCTCGCTTTATCCCCACCTCAACCCCCAATTATTTACATGTCTCCTGTGGTTTTTTGCTTTTCTTTTCAGGTTCCTTATTTTCTTGATGAAGCTACTGGATGGGGACTTGAAATTTCCGAACTTAAAAAACAGTTAGAAAGTGCCAAAGCTAAGGGCGTTAGTGTCAGGGCCTTGGTGGTTATAAATCCTGGCAATCCCACAGGGCAGGTAACAAACTATTAGTAATTCGTCAAGGTTGATTCAATAGTTTTGACATTTCATGTTATCCTTAATTGTCATCTTCATATTCTGAATGGTTTTTCGAGTTATCTCATGTTTTCAGTATTTAATTTGTTTCCTCTAAAGGTTCTGGCGGAGGACAACCAAAAGCAAATTGTGGACTTTTGCAGGAAAGAAGGGATTGTTCTCTTGGCAGATGAGGTGACTACATTCATTAGACCAATGATCCTGTTCCGGTTGCTCATGAACTGTTTCTTTTTTATTTATTTTTTTTCATATTTTGGTTAAGATAAACCTTCAAATCACAACACTTGGAAGTAGAATGCTTTGTATCATGAACTTTTGGATACCAATAGTCTCCGCCATTGTCCATCTTTAGGTGTACCAAGAAAATATTTATGTGCCCGACAAGCAGTTTCACTCCTTCAAGAAAATTGCACGGTCAATGGGTTACGGAGAGAAAGATATTTCCTTGGTGTCTTTCCAGTCGGTGTCAAAAGGTTGGGCTATGAGGTTCTAATCAACTGGTTGAACAAAGCATTTTGGTACAGATGAGTGAATCTTTATCCACTTTTTGCAGGATATTACGGAGAATGTGGAAAAAGAGGAGGCTACATGGAAGTTACTGGATTTAGTCCCGAAATAAGGGAGCAGATTTATAAAGTGGCATCCGTGAACCTTTGTTCTAACATTTCGGGTCAGATTCTTGCAAGTCTTGTCATGAATCCCCCAAAGGTTAGATTATTGACCTCCGAAGATCACTTTTCAGAAGCACATTTTTGTTTAAAAAAATATATTTCGTAGTCAACTAAAGTCTATATGTGATATCTTTGGGTAAAGGAAGTCTCTATCTCTTGACTAGCTACACTTCCATGAAAATGAAGGATAAGATATTAAGATGACATATAAGCTATTGTCCAATTTCCCATTTTTTGTTACTCGATTTTCCCCATAAATTCTTAATCTTACTTAATGTGAGCAGGTGGGAGATGAATCGTATGAGTCTTATTCTGCAGAGAAAGACGCAATCCTATCCTCCATGGCAAGGCGTGCAAAGGTTAGCATTTGAGGTTTACAAAACCATAGTTAGCCAAAACATGCAAGGGTAGTTCAGTCCAATTACCCAAAACCCAAATATCTTTGAAAATTATAAATGCTCCTTAACCGTTCATTACCAGAGGTGTTTCAGTTTCTTAGCAAATTTACTAATATTCAAGGTGCAATTTGTGAAATTCATCAATCAACTTTGATGGAGATTTTTTTTTTTTTCTTCTAAAACCCAATGATTGTTGAGTTTGTAAAATCCTGCAACAATATGGACAAACAAAACGAATTCTAGGTCTGCCCACCGGTTTTCGCTTGTGGGACGTTATGGGCATCCAGTTTACGTAGAGTTTCTATCTAATCCTGAATTTGTCATCGGGTTCTGTTCAAAGTTGAATTTAGGATATGATTGGATATAAAAAAAATCGAAACCCAAATTTAATTCAACTTTAACCCGACCTCGCTATTTTCAATATTATCGATATTATTAAATAATATCAATCAGTTATCAACCACATCAGATCAGTTTTAATTCACTATTCATTAGTCACATAATTATAATTACCTATCACTTTCAATCACTTTTATCATAGATCAACTTTAATAATTTTATTTTAAATATTATTTTAACAAAAAACTCAAAATCTCACTCAAACCTAACCCAACAACTTTTTTAACTACGGTTAACAAAATAATCAATTAAAACCAAATCAAATTCATACCCTTGGTTCCCTTTTAATAATCAATTAAAACCAAATCAAATTCATACCCTTGGTTCCCTTTTTGTCCCTTTCTACAGAGCCTTGAGGAAGCACTCAATGATCTAGAAGGAGTGACCTGCAACAGAGCAGAAGGGGCAATGTATCTGTTTCCTCGCATTCAATTGCCTAATAAGGCAATAGAAACTGCAAAAGCCGTTAACACGACCCCTGATGCATTCTATGCCCGCCAGCTCCTTAATGCCACAGGAATTGTAGTTGTTCCGGGTTCAGGATTCGGACAGGTAAAAAAGCTAACTGCATATCATCAATGATATGTGCTTATTTTTATTTATCATTACTATTTTGTATTTCATTCTAAGTAAATCGGCTTGTAATCGCTTCACTCCTTATACAAAATTAGCGGTGATTAGAATAACTACCACTAAAATATGTAGACTATTTTAAACATCCATTCATCTTTTAATGCCAATGCATTTTTTTTTTTTTTTTTTTTTCTGGTGATAGGTCCCTGGAACATGGCATTTTAGATGCACGATATTACCTCAAGAGGATAGAATTCCGGCCATCATTTCGCGTCTCACTGAATTTCACAAAAGATTCATGGATGAATACCGCGACTGAGGACCTTATTATCATATTTTCAGCCGCCAAGAAGAGATTATAATGTTTTTGAGTTATATTTTCGAGCTTATTATTGTATTGTACAAGCCATCGGAAGATTTTAACTGCATTTTAACTGCATATACGGTTGCTTCTTTCGGCTGAAATATTCATGTCTTTGATGTATGAGATTTTTGCTCGGAATATAATAATAATAATAATAATAATAATAATAATAATGTATTACAATATTTACATTTTTTTCACACTTAGTTTTATGGGTAAAGAAACCTAGAAAGCCGAAATATTAATTAGAAGGAAAGAAAGCTTTGGTAAACAAAATATGACAAACAGATGAATCTCATCTTCACCACAAAACACATTATTAGATCAATTAATTGGACAATGCACCAAATTCTATAGTACATTCTTCCAAGGAACAGTATATAGAAACTTTGAAGTTTTTCAATTAATTCAAACCGAAAATACGCATTGCAGCAGTTTACAGTATATCAATGTTATGAGCCAGCAGTACAAATTGTGTCCGGGGCTGCGAAATATAATGGAAAATGTTGATAATAACCGAGACGATAGGCTTTTCTCCTCTCACAGGCGATTGATGACAGCCTCGACTTCAGAAGGGGTGTAAAGATGGTACCTTGGTGAAACCTTGGCAATGTCAACATTGTTAGGTGTAACCTGTCCGAAAAGACGACATTACACACAAATAAGCAATGATGTGTTGAAAATGAAAACTTAAATATCACTAGTAAGATTTTATCTCTTTTTTCCTCCCCTAAAAGAAGGATTAACGAAAATATTTCAGTTCTTTGAAGATAAAATATTTCATTTTATTTTTTCCATTCGCGAGGGGCGTATCATTAATATGCTCGGAAAAGTAACATATATAAGTACCTTTTCCTCCATAACTTGCTTGAGGATAGAAAGAGCAATGGTTTCAGCTTCCTTAAGAGTCAGATCCTAAGAGCAAGCAATAAATGGATCATATAATTGAAAATCAGAAGTCACATATTTGCGAATAGCTCGTTCCATACATCTAGCGTGTGTTTGTTTATAAATTATTTCAATTCATATTCAATTCACACTCAAAATCTAACTCAATTTTAATCCAACTCCACTATCCTCAATATTATCAATATAATTAAATAATATCAATTTATTATTCTTATACACCACATCAACGTTAATTCACTATTCATCAACTCACATAATCCCCCCTATATATTAATACAGAATGCGCTGAGCCTACGTGGCTGCTTCTGGTGCTTCGGAATCTTATGTGGCAAAATTACATGCTTCGTTATTAGGCTTGGGTAAATTTTAATTTTATTCCAAACCAAAAATAATTAGGTTCGGATTACCATAAATATGTTATGGTCATGTTACATGTATTAATTGTATTTTAATATCATTCCTTATTATAACTATTGAATTGTATATATATTTTAAAAGTTAATAATTTTTTATCAGTTTTACATATGTAATATATCAAATTAATCTTCTTTTGATAAGCTTCGATTTAACATCCATATTGTATGTATAAAAAAAATAATTTATATTTATCTTTATAACAATAATAAAATTATTTTTAATATTAATTAGAAAAATAAAATTATTTATTAACTAATATATTTATATATCAAGTAGTTATATGATATAAGTTATAAAAACTAATATAATATAACACATGTAAGTCATAAGTAACACATATCATTCTAAAATATATAGTAATATATTATTTTTTTTGTAAAAAAGTAAACTAAATTTAATATATTTTTCTCATTAATTTTAAAATTTAAGAATATTTTTTAACAAGCACCCGTGTAATACACGGGTATTGTACTAGTTTTAACTAATCATCATTTCATATCATCTCTCTCATACTTTTCCATCAAATCAACTTTAATTATTTTATTATAAATATTATTTTAATATAAACCAAAATCCACTAAAAATTAACAATACCAACTTTTTCAAAATTAATCATGTCTAACAAAAAAAAAAACTAGTTTTTTGAGCAGATATATTTGTACCCAAGCACGCCCCTAACTACCCTTCAGTAGATAAAAGTTAGAAAAAACACGACACCTTATTGAACTGCTCCTGCAAAGAGCTGTCAGCACCTTCAGAGCCCGACCCAATGGCTTTCGCATTGCATTGCCAGAAAGTACCAGAAGGATCCGTATAGTATCTGTGCATGAAGACGTCCGAATAAATCTAGAAAGTATACAGCTTGCAGAAATAAAATTACTTGAATACTCGGGAAGACTATGCTTGGAATTGCTAATATCACATCTTCTATAAAAGATTTTGAGCTATCCTTTATAATATTGGACATAGATAATGCAAAAAAGGCAACCCGAACACAAAAATATATGACATTTTGGTTGTTATAACGAGGGCTTATGTCAGGCGGATATGAATGGTGCAGAGGATAGCATTCGCCAATTGAAACAGAACAACTTACAAGCTGGGTCCATTCTCATCATGACCAGCAATGAGAAGAGATACACCAAAAGGCCTCGACTGCAATAAAATAAGGAAATAAGATCAGTGAGAAGGTTAAAGATCATGTTAAAAAATGAATGAACTGACAGGTGAAATTTGTAAGTGACAGACAAAAATAATACATACTCCCTCCTATCCTTTTTAAATGTCGTTTTGTACTTTAACACATAAATTAAGAAATTTTTTCTTGCCAGTATTAGCCTTATTTAAAGAAAATTAACATTAACTAATTTATTTCCTTTTAGCTTTTTTATGTTCTTTTAAGAGACAAAACTCATAGTATTCACAACTTTCCTCTCAAAATATGAAGTGTATTAGTTAAATGAGAGTAACAATGGAAAAGTATGTATAAAAGATCCAAAAGGTCATTTATTTAATTAATGGTCACTAAAGCCAAAATGACAAATAAAAAAATAGGAGGGAGTATTTAAAACGGCAAAAAGAATAACTGGGACTATCAGCATGGAGGTTTTTAGCATTATCATACAGATACTTCATAGAAACAATGAGTTTGAGCAATTCTTATATTTATAAATGTGAGAACGCACTGTTTGTAATTCCAACTTAAACATTCAAGCAATCATACTCCATTATCGAGGGAGAAGCAAAACCAGTTAAAAAAAAGTAGTTAGGAGTCTCTAGGCTAATACTAACTACTATTTCTTCACATTAACAGATATTTGAATGAACATAAATGAGACTAACCATTGATTCCTCATCTCCCTCACCAAAGCGCAAGGCAAGGTCACAGAGAGCTTGAGTAGTCGACTCGACAGTCATGGGCTCCCCATACGAGAACCTATGATTCTAGCAGATTCAAGAGTCCCACATTGCAAATTGTTAAAAATCTACATAAACATAGTAGCATAGGCCATGAATGATGATGCGAGGCAATTATTCAATAAAGATGAATAGGAATTACCTGAGTCTCGACTCGTGCATGTTCAACCAATGTGCGCGCATCAGCAATTAAGCCACTCATGGCACACCCAATATGTTCATCAATCTCCATAATTTTCTCCACACTGCTAGGCTCCTGAAAAAACAGTCGAATGTGATATTTAAACTCCAAATATGACCAGACTTCTGACCAACAGCATTAAGTAATCATTCACAGCAAAATGTAAAATGGTTGTTGGGGCCAATTTAAAGCAAGAAAACAGACACGATAGATCTTTAATAACATTTTATTAAGTTAAAACCAGATAAAGGCAATACCATCCTTATAAAATTGCTAAAAGATAGGGCAAATCGAAACACGGGCAATTCCGAAAAAAAAAAATAAAAAAAAAATCCTTTTGATCATTTCAGCTACAACAGACACTCTCAACTGAATCTAAAATCTCCTTAGGATAGATCAAAATCATACCAAAAGCGGTGAGGTAATTCGCTTCTCAACAGCAAGAACTACTCCCTCCTTGGTCTTTATCCCAATTGCAGTTGAGCCAAGCTATAACAAATAAAAAAAAAAAAAACAATAAAACAATAAATCCATGTCCCAAAAAACTGAACCCAACAAAATCCATAAAAACTATAAATTCAATCGTAATTTATGTTGAGATCAGTAAAATTAATGACCTTGATAGCTTCAATGGCATACTCGACTTGAAACAGCCGGCCTTCAGGAGAGAAAGTATTGACTCCTCTATCATACTCAGTCCTTTAGGAAGCACAAAACTCATACACCATTACTTCAAATATATATATATACGCAAAAATATCAAGTTAAATCCAAGTTCAAGAACAAAACAAGATTTCGTTTCTACCTGGTGAGGAACATTTTCGATGAACTGAATCTGCTGCGAATGGATTAATTCAACAGTTAAACTGATAAAATTGAGAAAAAAAAAATACAGAAGAAAACAAGAGGATTAAATTAAAAAAAAAAATGATATGGATCCAAATTCGACTAACCCTAAACCCCAAATGAAGAGAAAATCAAGCCAAGCAGAGCAAATTTACTACGCGTTTGATTAGTGTCGTTTTACTCGTTTATTTATGCTGGTGAGCTTTGAGTTTTTAATTCGTCGTCGAGCTAGGGAGGGTGAGAAATTGAGATGCAGGTATTTGGGCTTTCATTGTACTCATGAAATTTAGTAAGTCCAATTCAAGATGGATGCAGCCCAAAAATAATCTATATTTGGGCCAATGGACAATAGGGCCTTTTGCCAGTCAATTGTAAGTTTTAAGGGCTTGGATAATGGGAAATTGGGTTAATGTTTGTTTCCGGAACTTGGTGACGGATCATTAAATTTTGTGGGTATAGGCACAACTGGACGTGGTCAAATTCCGGGCCGGCTGGTCGTCGTGTTCAAAATGACCGACTTTGAAATGATTCGTACTTAAGTACGTGCCGGGTGCACGACCCGACAGCCCGGGCACTGGTCGGCTCCGACTCAGAACTAGACCCAACCCGGGACCCATTTTTAAAAAAATATGGTCGTTGATTTTCAACGGTTAGATTTTTGGACCGTTGATCTCCAACGGTCTGATCCTAAAATAAAAAGGTGCGGTCCGGCCCTGGCTTGGTCCATCGGGTCATATGTTACACAATATGACCCAGAACCAGCTTTGTGTAAATCCAGGCACGGGCCCCCACCCATGGTCAACGGGTTGGACCGAGCCGAGTTCGTAGCGATTCTTGGTTGGGTGACTCGTCGCCATGTCTAGGTACAATGTATCATGTTGTTTTTTTTTACTTTTTTACTATATTTCGAAAACTTGTTCAACAGATCAATTATCTGGCAAAATTTGCTCCGAGCACAATTTGAAAGGTTCGTGAACAAACTCATATTCATCCAGTTATCAAACAAACTTAATTTTTTGTTGGAGTTTAGTTCGATTATCAGACGAACAAACTGTGAAAGTAAAAGAGAAACAAAATCAAATATTTATCAATTCAAGAACCTTGTTAAGATGAACTTTAAGAGAGAGTAGGTAGGCCTTGGTTGGCCATCAATGTTCGATTATCTGGAGAAGGTGCAATTGCAGTGGGAATGAGGACAGCTAGACTCGTTGGACAAGAAAAAAATGCAACCACATAGTAAATACAAAGATTACATCCTACAAATCAACTACACAAAGTCCTTTTAAAAAACACAACTAACCACACAGTATCTATCAAACCATATGAAAATGCAACCACCACCATCAAACCTTATTCTCCCTATTTTAACTCAATGAAACCTAAACCGACGCCGGACCCCGACAGGCGGCCGGTCGTACCCAAACATCGGTGGGTACCCCTCGGTCGGGTGGGTCCCAAAACCGAAAAACGCCAAGCCCCCAAAGAGGGAATCATGTCCCGACGACACCTTATCCACGATCGATCGAGACCTCGGGTGAATCTTGCAGAAAAAATCCCGACACACTCTCTCGTCCACCTTTGGTGGCTCATATGCCTCACACTTGTGAGGCTCCTCGTTTTGTCCTTTTCGTCCACCTTTGGTGGGCCCCCTATTGCAATCTTGGTGAATGTTGTTTGGTAGGAGTTGGACCGATTTGTTGAGCTTCGCGACTTTGTTGAGGAGGGTCATGGGGTCAACCGGACCCTCGACGAATACGAGGTTTTTCTCCACGTTAATATTGACCGAGTACACACCTATACAGCAAAACAATACAAATCATTGTAGAAAAAATGTATAATCTTTTTTTTTTTTTAAATAATAATTTAGTATCATTGTCAATTTAATTGTGATAATTCAAATGAATGAATTTCTTTTTGGTACAGGGACCTTCCGGTTTCCGGTCCACAGGGGAACCGACTAATCCGGAGAGTCGGGTAAGACCACAAGGGCAGCAAAGCTCTCCCTCAAAAGTTTTAACACTGTTGCATTCTCAGGGCTCGAACACGAGACCACTGGTTAAGCTGGAAGAGACCCAAGTCATCTCATCCAAACGCTCTTAGGTATTAAAATGAATGAATTGAACTTTGGTGACAACATGTATATTTGATTAAAAGAACTTTGTGGCAAGACAACCATATTGAAAATTATATTTGCACTAAAATTAATATTTGGTATTTTTTTTTTTGGTACAGGGATCTTTCGGTGTACGGATCCACAGGGGAACCGACTAATCCAGAATCGAGCCAGGTAGGACCACAAGGGCGGCAAAGCTCTCCCTCAAGAGTAATATTTGGTATTTTGAACCGATGCATAGGTCGGATCTAATATCATCATTATATGAAACTATTTGATTTTTTTCAAGCATATAAAAAAATTAACCTGCAAGAAATACCAAAAATTAATTCCTAGCAACATATCTTTTTTTTTTCTAGGTATGAATGCAAATTAATTACAAAGGACTTTAAAAAAAAAAAAAAGGGTTTTTGGGCCAACATATAAATATGGAAAATGCTACAATCCGGTTACAGAACCATTCCGTCTGGATTTGTAACCGTTAGACCATCATGTAACCGTCCGGATTTGTAGAATCTTTATAAATATAAAAATGACTATTGAAAAAGAAAAGAAAGGTACCAGGCATTTTGAGTAATTTTTCCCTCAATATCTCTGGGCAACGTTCACAACAACTGATATCAATGGACAAAACCTTGGCCTGCACTATTTGCAATCAAAATTCAAGCTAACAATAATTTATAAAAACATATAAATCTGAAAAGAAAAATACATGAAATAGAATAATAAAATATACCTTATCATCAGAATGACGATTTCCCATTGGAAATTAAAATGATGGGTTGATTAGAGCGAGAGTTTTATTGCACACGAAAATAAATAAATAATAAACTGCTTTTACTTTACATTTTACTCTGAAAATTCGTTTCAATATATTATAAGTCCATTGCAAAACTACGTATTTATTTATGGTAACAATAGAGAAATATTGATTTTTCATAAAGAAAGTAAATTAATATCCCATAAATAATGCAAATATTTGATTTCATAACATTGATTGAGAGAATAATATTGTGGATTTACACATTTCAGCATTTTATTAATTTTAATATTACGAAGGTAATTTTGAAAAAAAAAAAATGGAAGAAGATATGGCCTTCTTTGGCGATCAGCGGATAGCAGATTATATTAGCTGATTTGACTAGCGGATTGCATTAGCTGTTTTTAAATAAGTGTTTGGTAAATAGCTGAAAGCTTATAGCTGTTTGACATTGCAAATTATCAATATGGACATTTTATTATTTAGGGTGTATTATTTTGATAATAATATATTAAAACATTTAATATTTTTTAGTTGATAATTTATAAATATATATATATATATATATATATATTTAAATTTACTAACACTTGATTAAGAAGCTATGAATTAATTATTATTCTAGATAAATTAATCATATGGATGACATATTATTATTTGTTAGCATCATAAACCAATGTAGATTGTAAAATAAATAATACAAATTAAAAAATTCTAAATTAAAATTGTAGATTGTGAATCCTCTATCTCCAAAAAGCTCATCTAATGAGTTTTTTCTAAATTAGATTTTTTGACCTAAAAAGTTTATCCAATAAGCTATTTACCAAACAAGTTCAATAGCGGATTTGACGGGTTAAACCTCTCAATTAAGTCTAATCCGTTAATTTATCCTCAATCCGCTATCTTCCAAACGGGTATGTTGATCCATTATTCTGTGAAATTAAATTAAATTTTAATTTAATAGGGACATGTAAGCAACTACTTTTTGTTCCTTCTTCATTAACGATTATTATGCAATAAAAAATAATATCCAATACATCATAATGCAAAGTTAATTAAATAGCATCTTTTTGTTGTACCATACATTGACTTTGCTGAAGGTGAAGGATACAATTTTTAATTTTTTAATTTTTTATTTTTTTTTATCCCTTCATGCCTGTATTATATTTTTTATTATCACTAGACAATATATCAATTTCCAACAACAAAATGTAAGCAAACAATTATAAATTGAATAATACTAATTCCAGAAATATTATCTCAATTTTTCACTAAAGAATCTAATAATAAATGATATATATGTACAGTGATATAGCATATGAATAATTTGTGGGGAAAAAAATTATCAATACAGGTCTATAATGTTATGTTTGGTAGACAAATAAGATAGCTTATAATTTATTTGGGTAACTTATAAACTCTCTGTATTCAAATAAGTCTTGTTTGGTATGACGAGTTTTTTTAAAAAGTTCGAGCTTATTTGATAAGCTTCTTTGGGTATCTTTTCAAATAAACTAGTTGAATTTTTTTATTCTAGCTAGCTTACCAAACACTTTTATCATATAAGCTAAATTTTCAGCTATAAATCATAAGTTATAAACACGAAAATTACTTATAAGCTATTAATTAACTTATCAGCTATCAGCTAACTTATCAGCTAATTTTACCAAATACAGTGATAAATTTGATCCTGAACTGATTTTTTAAATAGATATACATATGCATAAAGTTGTGGTCCAAAATCTTTTGGACATACTTTAAACAGTACATACCAATGTATTATAATATAATAAGACATTAAATATGTTCCCATACCAATTTAATCTATATATATATATATATAATCACTAGCTAATAGTATTTAATAAAATCTATTTAATTTTACCTATGTGTCAATTTAATCATTTTCCCTCCAAAAATCGTTACTTTTGATGTATTTAATCTTTCATTTAACTAGTAATAGCCAACACACTAATCACTTCAAAATTACAAAATTCATTTTAAACTTTTGATTACTGACAGTCGACTGTATAATGTGTTGACCGTATAATGTGATTATATGTTATTATTGTGTTTACATTCAAATTAATTTTTTTTAAAAAATAAAAAATGTATTTGAAAATCCTAAATAAATAATAAATAATAAATAATCCACAAAAAAAAAGTACCAAAATATACATTACATCCAATTAGATAAACGCAATTTAAAAAAAAAAATCTAACTCCTTTAATTGTAAATTTGGCCAGCAAAAAAGTGAAAGAAAAATAATTAATCATTATAAGCATAGAAATAACTCACAATATTTTATTTACATATGTGTAAATGCACATGGTAGAATACTAATATGAATAATATATTGCCACTTCCTTGTGGACAGTGGATACTTATCTTAAGAACTAATATGTGCTGCAATATGAATAAAAATACAATTTCTATGTCATATTTTTTCTATTTTTTTTTTTTTTAAGTAT